CCGTCTCGATCGGGATGGGGGAGTTTGATGAGATTGCAGGACTAAGCGTACTGCATGGCCTCCGCTGCGGATCGATTCAAGGCCATAAACTCGCCAGGCCTGGTGCGGGATCGGGGGTTGTCATCACCCGATCGGTGTTCCGCCCGGCCGGCTGGTTTACGAGATGAAGATCCGACTTCCTGCGAGCGCTTTACGGCGTTCGCCTCGCCAGCATTGGCGTAATCTGTGACCCTTCGAAGGGCCTCCTCATACGTGGTCAGGGGGTGTAGGATGAAGTCTTGATAAAAATGTCCCGCCCGAAGAGATATGTGAAGCATATGGGTGGCGGTCGCGTCGTCCATAGGCTCGACCTCCCCGACCGCTGCCTTCCACTTGACGAGGAAATCGGTCAGGCTTTCCCCTTCTAGCTGCTTGGCCTTCTCAAGATACATGTAGGACTTTCTCACCACTTTGGAAGTAATAAACTTCCTCACAAACTTGATCGCCAAGGTGTCAAATCTGTCGATCGAGCCCGGTTGTAAGGTCCGAAACCATTCTGCTGCTCGACCGGTGAGCGTAGAGTAGAATGCCCTACACATTACGGCGTCTGAAACGCCCTTCATCATCATGTTGCTATAAAAATCATTCACATGGGCTTCGGGGTCTGCCCATCCGTCATAACTCTTCTCTCTAGAGACCTTCAAGTCGAGCGGGTAAGGCTGGGCCATTACCGCTGCTGTGAAAGGCGTCTGGTGCAGGGTCGATTGGTTGACCGGGGGTGTTGCAGGGTACGCATTCTTGAGCTGCGCAACTTCCGCCTGGAGGTTATAGAGCAATCCTCGGGTTTCGTTGAGCTCAGCGGCTTGAGCGGCTTGGGCTGTATCCCGAGCGCGTCGCCGTCGGTGAGATCTCGACCCGCTATACCCAGATGAAGCCTCCTGACTAGCCTCCTGCATCTGTACGTCTTCTTGCCCGCGGTTCGGGTCTTGGGGTCCCAAACGCTGGCGCATCTCCGGTCGAAGACGATCAAAAGCCGCCGCCCGGGCAGTTTCTTCAGGGTCCTCCGCTTGGACGGCCTGAGATGGTGCCTCCATCGCATCAGCACCCCCCGACCACAACCGCGAATGAGCCGAGCGTCGAGCCCGGGAAGTGGACTGACGCTGCGGCTCTACCTGTGCGGTCGGTTGTACTGGAGGGGCGGCGGCTGGAGCTGTATAAGCAGGCGTATATGGTGGATAACCAACCGGGGGAGTGTAGCACATTGGTTGGCCTGGCCAATACCCATACGGTGGAGGTGGGACCGGGTACGGATACTGGCCGGGATACATCATCGGCTGCTGCTGGTATGGCTGACCGGGTGTTGGGTATCCCGGTTGTATGTAATTCACTGGCTGTTGGGCGGCCGGGTATGCATTTGATGGATGCGGTGGTGAGAGGTTGAGGTTTAGATCGACCGTCTGACCTTGCTGTTGGGTAGCGTGATGGTCAGATGAGCTCGCCACATCTGCTTGGTCGTCGGCGAAGTTGTTATATGCCCACGGATACATCGTTGCAAAGAGGCCGAGTGCTCGTCAAGACGTAGCTTTGTTGCACTGGTCCCCACAGACGGCGCCAAAATGATACTGCTAATTATACGTAAGCAATATGAAATAACTCGAGACCAATTAAAGCAAGTAAATGTCTTTATTGATCACGGTAAAGGCCCTAAGTACAATCTACTTGGTTGCTCTGAGGTACCGACTGACTGCGGTCGGGATTCTCTAACAACAACCTATCGATCGTCCAAAAGTCCCTCACACTGTAGCTACTGTGGGTATTTATAGCCGTTATGCCGGGGACAGGATTCCAGCCGTTCGGCATGTCCTCCACGTAGCCACCACGTGTCATCCTCCCGGGTGCCCTGCCTGTCGATGTAGAGAGCTGCCACGTGTCCTTCGTCAGCTCTTTCGCCAAAGGGCTACCGCTCGGTGGTTGACATCGTCGTTCGGGCAACTCCCGGTCGGACCCCGACCGGGTTCTTCACAAGGAGCCCGACCTGTTACCTGCAAAGACAAAGAGAAAAGGACAAAGGCTTCTCGGTCGCGGTGAAGCTATGTCGGTCGGGATATTCCCTACCAACCCCAAATAAGTCATTGAACCCGAAAAAAAAAAAAAAGAGCAAATAAGTGTTTAACCCGAAAAAAAAAGAGCAATTACCATTTTTAACAGGTTAACTCCAGATTTTTACTGATTAGATTGTCAAATATTTATTTATTTATTTATTTATTTATTTATTTATTTATTATTATTATTATTATTATTATTATTATTATTATTATTATTATTATTATTATTATTATTATCCACTTGGATAATATTATATTTTAAAGTAATTATAATCAAAATAGTTTTGTCCTGTCAAGATCTGATTTTTTTATTATTATTATTTTTTCACTGGATCTTTTGTTTAAAAAAATAATAAGAAATAAATAAATTAGATCTAGACAAGACAAAACTATTTTGATTATAATTACTTTAAAATATATTATTATGTAGGTGGATTATAAATTTAAAAAAAAAACGTAAATAAAATAAACATTTGACAATCCAGTCAGCAAAAACTTGGAGTTAACTTGTTAAAAATGTTAATTATTCTTTTTTTTTCCGAGTTCAATGACTTATTTGGGGGTTATTTGAGTTCGATGGCTTAATTGATGTTTCTCAAATAGTTCAATGGCTTATTTATACTTTATCCCTATTTAATACTTTCTTCCCAAAATGTTGAACCCCCAACCCCAAAACTATATATTTAATACTTTTAATGGGAGTCAAAGAGGTCTTTATTTTAAATTTTTATTTTTAAAAATTTTTAAGACTTAATAATTATAAACTCTTTATTTTTTGAAGAATATAAACTATTTAATATTTTAATAATTAATACTAAAATATTAATTATTAACCTAAAAGTATTTGTAAATTGTATAAAGATTTAAAAATAAAAACATAATTTTACAAAATCACAACTCATAAAGTATCAACTTAGTTCTAAATTTTCAAATCAATTTTTTTGAACAAGTAGTTGATTTCGATTTTTTTTTTTTTGTTACATTTGTTGGGTTTGCGACTAATTTGAACTTAGATTTATTTTATTCAAAACGACGTCTTTTTGAATGGAACAATCCATTAAAAAATAGAACAATAGTTAATCGGTCGATTATCCAACCTAGTCGGTCAGCCACCTTGAACACTGATGATACACTAAGATATCTAAAGTACTTTTCGAGCAAGTACAAGCTCCTTATGTTGTACGTTCGAGCGTACAAGACTCCAGGAACACATAATAAAAACAAAGGAAAGGAAAACTCTTATTCATCCTGCCCATTCGTCATACAAATACAGCCGCTAAAGTCTAACTTATTTACACTACTGGAAATTGTGGAATTTCCGACCACCTGAAAGTGATCTTAAATCAAGTCGAAAGTCTTGTTCCGACCACTTTTGGTATCCGAAAAAACCTTTGTTGCTATTTCCGACCACTTTTTGATTTCAACTTGATTTAAGATCACTTTCAGGTGGTCGGAAATTCCATAATTTCCAGTAGTGTTAGGAGAGGAAATATGGAAATTGCATGTTTCAAGGAACTAAAAATCAAGGAATTGATATAATGAGAAGATTCCATGTCATTTAGTATTTTCTTTCATGCATGAGTCCTCAAATTGGTCTCTACCCATTATTCCATTAACAAAACATTCATTCTTTTTCTATCGCCTAATTCGAGTTGACCGTGGTACTTTCGGATGCATGGGTTCTTCCAGTTGATTATTGGTGATCGTATCATCCCCCTAACCTGACTCTAAGTCTAAATTTATAGCGTTGATCACGTCTACTGGTTCTCATGTGCCAGTTGCTTTGTTTAGATCTGTTGCTAAATTATAAGTTGTTGTTCGACACTATGGCTTCTGTGTTGTATTTCACTTGAGTTAATATCGCTTGACTTTTTTTACTCATGACTATTATCAGCTTGATGAAACTTTGAATCGAAGAAATAAGTGTAATAGAGATTTATATGTTGTTATGTAAACTAAAAGTGTATGCAATAAAAGAGAAAATGATTGAAGAATTTTGAATCACATATAACATTATAACATGCAAACTCATAAAAACAATTGTTGCAAAATCATTAAAAACTCATTTATTATCTTTATACTATATAGAGATCAGAAAAGGGTCATATAGGCCCCTAAACTTTAAAAAAGTTCAATTAAACACTCAAACATGTCAAATTGGGTCGATGAAGCCCAAAAATCGGTAAATGACCTGTTAGTACAGGTCATTACAATTCCAGCGACGGATTCAGGCCACCGGTGACGAATTCCAGCCACCGGCGATAATTTCCGGCTGTCCGGTCGTCTTCCACTGGAGAAGACGACCGGACGGCCGCCTTCTCCAATGGAGAAGACGACCAGATCTGGATCGTCCTCTCCAATGGAGAAGACGGCCGACGGCCGTGTGGTCGTCTTCTCCAATGGAGAAGGTGGCCGTCCGGTCGTCTTCTCCAGTGGAAGATGACCGGACGACCGTAAATTGTCGCCGGTGGCCGGAATTTGTCACCGGTGTCCGGAATCCGTCGCCAGAATTGAAATGACATGTAATAACAGGTTATTTAGTGGTTTTTGGGCTTTATTGACCCAATTTGACATGTTTGAGTGTTTGATTGAACTTTTTTAAAGTTTAGGGTCCTAATTGACCTTTGGGGTAAAGTTTAGGGGCCTATTTGACCATTTTCGCTACTATATATGATAATTAAAAAGATAAATGGATGCGTAATCGTTTTTATTTAGCCATCATCTCCATCAGTGTTAAGATTCTATCATTTATGTGGTAATGAAGTTATAACGGGGTAAACATAATATAGTTTAGCAAAAATGGAGCATATAACAGTTTTAGTGAAATGTATAGATAGACCAATTAATCAATCAATAAAAGACTAAAAACTTTAAAATAAAATTTTTATTTTTGATTCTGGTAAAGTATAGATAGACGAAGCCATTTTTATTATACACATATAATGATGGTGCCACTTTGCACACCTATATGCCATTTACAAAAGGACATATTTCTATGAAATTATTGATAAAGCTCGGAATTAGATAACCTCGGTACTGGAATAGCAACTAGAGAAGTATTTTTCTTGATGACAAGTCCAATTAACCCACCTGATAAGTCCATCTTTTCACCTTCAGGAAAATGCCAGTTAAAAGAGTGCAACATCGAACTCAAAATATAAATTAGCATTTTCTTCGCCCAGGAAATTCCACCACAAATTCTCCTGCCCCATCCAAATGGCAGAAACCTATAATCATTGCCAGTATAGTCTAAACCAAAGGTTTCGTTAAGGAACCTCTTAGGGCTGAACTGGAATGGATTATCCCAAAGTTTACGGTCTCTATGTATTGCATACATGTTTAGAAAAACCCTTGCATCCTTAGGGATAGTGTATCCACCCACTTGTGTAGTTTGACTTGGACACTTGGGGATTAGAAGTGGCACTGCTTTGTATAAACGAAATGTCTCCTTTACAACAACATCCAAATATTTGAGCTTTTGTAGATGGACCTCTTCAAGAATGCTTGTCATTCCAACAATTTCCTCTAATTCTTTTTGGACCTTTTTCATTATTTCTGGATTATAAAGTAATTTTGTTATAACTGAAAATTTGTAAAACGCAATACACAGTGATGTCGAAACTGAAGTTGTAACACAAACAATCTATAACGCAGTTCGAGCAAACAACCCTAATTTGCGAGGCACTTCTCAATTTCAGAATTTGCCTAAAGCCACTAAAAGCTCAATATTTAAAGTACACTGTTTGGAACCTGAGATTACACAATAGAATGATCTTTCCTACCAAACTATTGAAACTTAAACACATGTACTACTTTCTAGTGGAATTTAGTATCCTATTCTCAAAGACTCTCATACCTCACAAGATTAATGTTGAATGCTTGAATTCTACAATAAAGGACAAACCCTATTTATAGTAGTTATTCCTAACAGATTCGTGAATATCAAAGCTATTCCTGATCAAACTAGAATTAGAAAATCTTCAATAACAATTCCTTTTAAAACTAATATTCTTCTATAGTTATTCCTGTTAGGACTGATATTCCTTTACAGAACTGAAATTTTTTTTCCACATAACTTTGACAAAACATTTTGAGTCAACAATCTCCCCCTTTGTCAAATTTTGGCAAAGACCTTGATCTCATAGTGGCTTGATTTCTTATTATTCTCCCCCTTAATTGATTCCATGTATCTCTTTCATCTGATGAGTGTTGTCTTGAAACTCTGTTTGTCACTTCATCACTGTTCATGAGCTAAATGTGTTGACTATCATATAACATTGAATATCATCTATTCAAGTTACATAAACAAAGAGCACTCTGGATGGCTTCTTTTCTTGTTTTCTTGACAGCTACAAAAAGAAACTTAACATAAATGTCCGTTGTTTCAAGTTTCCCTTTCACAAAGAGAGCGCATAAGCTTCTCTTCAAACTTCTCAAAAAAAAAATTCTTTTCAAATTACACATCTGCATCGATCACTCCGAGCAGCACACCAAACAATATTCAAGGATGACGCGAAATATCTCAGATTAGTGATAGACGATACGAACCATGTCGGAATTGAATCTTCTAGAAACAACCCTCCTCCATCAAACGGTCCAATCGAAGTTGAAGAATCATTACTGGAGTATAAAACTTCCCCAGAATCTAGTGCAGTCAGACTTCAAAACCAAATCTCAGAATTAAGCATTTTGATTAAAAAAAATTTCCCTTTTTTTTTTCTTGATTCTTGGTGCGATTCTTAGCACGGGCTCTTCGTTTTACACCATCCAAGTTTTCACTAGATTCTTCAATATCCCAGTTTTGTGTGATTCATGTGCTTCTTTTGCTTCTTTTTCTTTTTCTGAGATTTTTGGGGTTCTTGCTCAGAAATGTCCGGTGATGGTCGGGCGTCCATCCATGGTTTAGGGCGAACGCTGGAGAGGAGACTCTATTTTCTTGAACATCGTGAAATGGAACCTGAGATACGGGAGCCGGATTCATGATGATTGTTGTTGGGTCGCCATCGTCGATGCAAACTGGGTTTGAGAAAACCCCTAAGCCGTTGTGGTGAGATGTCTCCCTACGAGGTAATTTTGAATTCAACTGTTGTCATGTTTTCACCATTGATGCCCTTTTTGAGATGTTAGAGAGTGCGACGGTAAATGAAGTGATATAGATGAGCGATTTCTTGAGGAAGACGATCAAGATCCCTTTCTTTTCTTTTTGATTTTGACCGTGGTTATGGGTCAAGGTTTTGGGCCGGGCTTTGGTCTTCTTTTGTTTAGTCATTGTAAGTGCAACCTAAACTTCATATTTTGTTCACATATGACATAGCCCAACTTTAGACCCCAATCTTGTATATCTGTTACAGTTTAGAGCTTCATCAATGTTTTTGGGTTCAAACTTGGAGGTGTAGTAGTAGTAGTATCCTTCTTCCATTTTGCGGTAATCTTGTTTCTTTACTTTAGTCTTTATTCCTTGATTGAGATCTCCTATGATATTTTCCATAGGAAGATTTATCTAAATTTTTAAGTCAATAGATTGACTTTTATCTTCATCTGGTTCTGTTTCTATTTTGTGATCCTGCATAACAGTAGTCAGAGGTGTTGGAACAGTTGTTTCAACAACTCTTGGACTTTCGTCATCATTAGTGGTTATTGTTGAAATTGTGTCATCAATAACCACATTCATGGATTCCATTCCACTGTCTACACTGAAAGCCCTACTATTTGGTGAATAACCTCGGAATATTCCTTGGTCCCCTTTGATGTCATGAAAATTTATGTGTCCCATGTGTTGGTGTCGTGATTCTTTTTGCTTGATGGTTGTTTGTAAACCAGATAGGTCACCATCCCATGTATAACATTTGTTTGCGGACCTTTTTCCCATCATGACACACTTGTGATTCTGATTAAACACAGTGCAATTGTCTTTAGAGAATTCTACTTTGAGTTTATCTTCACAAAGCTAACTTATGCTAATTAGATTTGGTTTTAGACTTTGTACTAGGAGGACTTTTGGCAACCTAGGCAGCCCATGGACATTCAAGATGCCGCTTGTAATGATCTGGCTTTTTTTCCTCCATCTCCAAAGGTAACATGTCCTTCATTCTTATACTGAACATTTTCCATGTTTTCTGGATTTCCAGTCATATGCCTTGAACACCCACTGTCAAAATACCATACGTTTTGTTCTTTGCTAGCTTTTGAGGTGTAGGCAACATTCTGATCTTTTCTTACCCAGATTTTCTTGCTGTTATTTTTGCTTTGTACTGCCCAATCTATGTTATTTTGCCTATAATAGAGATCATTTTGTCTTTTGAAGCAGTACGCCTTTATGTGTCCCAATCTATGGCAGTAATAGCATCTGATTCTTCTTCGATGTTGGAAGTGATGTTGTGACACCTCTGGAACTTCATGTACGTAGCTTTCTTCAGAAGCTGAGTTTGGAGATCTAGGCCTTTTAGTTAGTACCTTGATTTCTTGTAACAGTTTGGCCTCTCTGTTTTTAGATTCAAATAATTCATTTTGAGTTTCTTTGAGGCATTTTTCTTCTCTCTCTTTTTCACCTTTTAGAAACTGATTTTCTTGCATGAGCTCTAGATTCACTTTGGATGATTTGTTCCCATTTAGCATGTAGTTGGGTATATGACTGTAGCAGTTCTTGCATATCATTTTCGTTTCCGTTGTCATTCTCATGATTTGCGGTGAATGCTACGAAATTAGTGTTGGTGTCTTCTTCACTATCTGAGACATCGCTTAGTGTTGTCACATATGTTTTGCTCTTCCTTTTAAAGTATGTTGGACATTCTGACTGGATGTGTCCAAACCCTTTGCACTCGTAGCACTGAACTCCTTCAGGTTTTGGACTCTCCCTTCTTTTTGAAATAGATTGATTTTGTCCAGTTGGGAAGTTCCCTAGATTGATTGAAGCACTTTTGTTTCTAAATTTGTTAAAATTTTTGAGAACTCTGGTGAAATTCTTTGTTAGGAGAGCAATTGATTGTTCCATGGTTTCAGTATCAATTTCTAGACTCTCTTTCTGCTTTGATTGGAATGCAATTCTTTTGTCATTATTTTTCCATTTTTGCAGTATCTCAAGCTCATATGTTTGAAGATTTCTCATTAGATCACTGAGTTTGTAGGTGTTTAGATCTTTGTTTTCTTGGATGGCTGTAACCTTTATCATAAATCTCTTAGGTAGGGAATGTAGGACCTTTTTGACGAGCCTATGTTCAGGAATAGGTTCGCCTAGGTTAAACGCATCTCCAGCAATCCCTAAAACACTTGCACTAAACTGTGAGATATCCTCATCTTCTTCCATTTTTAAATTCTCAAACTGTGTTTGTATCATTTGCAGCTTGGATTGCTTAACAGAAGTATTTCCTTCGTGATGATCACATAGTATATCCCATGCAATTTTAGTTATGCCAGTGGTAGCGATTAGTTTGAAAGTATCTTCACTTACCACTCAATAGATGGTGTTCATTGCTTTTGAATTATAATTATATTCCCTTTGCTCTTCTTCGTTCCATTCTATTTTAGGTTTTTGATTACCTTTATCATCAACTAGATTCTTCCATTCTTTCTCAACGGCTTCCCAGACACCTTCTCCTTGTGCCAAAATATATATTTTCATTCTAGCTTTCCAGTAGGAGAAATTTGTACTAAAGAGAGCATGGGGCCTGGTGCTTGACAGTCCTTCTCTAGGAAACTCCATTAGGATCCTGCTAATAACTTAAGCAGTTTGGCTCTGATACCAATTGAAAATTTGTAAAACGCAGCACACAGTGATGTCGAAACTGAAGTTGTACACAAACAATCTGTAACGCACTTCGGGCAAACAACCCTAATTTGCGAAGCACTTCTCAATTTCAGAATTTGCCTAAATCCACTAAAAGCTCAATATTTAAAGTACATTGTTTGGAACCTGATATTACACAATAGAATGATCTTTCCTACCAAACTATTGAAACCTAAACACATGTACTACTTTCTAGGGGAATTTAGTATCATATTCTCAAAGACTCTCATACCTCACAAGATTAATGTTGAATGCTTGAATTCTACAATAAAGGACAAGCCCTATTTATAGTAGCTATTCCTAACAGATTCGTGAATATCAAAGCTATTCCTTATCAAACTAGAACTAGAAAATCTTCAATAACAATTCATTTTAGAACTAATATTTTTCAATAGTTATTCCTCTTAGGACTGGTATTCCTTTATAGAACTGGAATTCTTTTTGCACATAACTTTGACAAAACATTTTGAGTCAACAATAACTCAATCCACCATTGTTGATGTAGTGTCAGTCCCGCCTATCACAATATCCTATGTATATAGTTAAAAAAATATAGGCAGTAATGACTTTTAAAATTAGAATAGCGTTTGTTGAGAGTAACTAGAACAAAAAATCAATAACAATGAAAAAAAATAAAGAAGACAAGATTTACGTGGTTCGATAATGTGTCTGCGTCTACAGAAATGAAGCTATTCTTTTATTAATTGTGACGGTGATGATAAAACACCCAAAGTTAAAAACATCATATTATATGCAATTCTAAATTGTACAATTAAGAATGGTTGGTGCTTGGGGGGAGAATTGTTGGGCGGAGGTTGATATAGGGTCAAGTCTAAGCAATTGGAGGGGGATTGTTGAGCGGAGGCTAGTGATGGGTTCTTGAAAGTGTGACCGGTTTATAAGGAAATAAAGTTCTGTATTCACTGTGAGTTATAACTTTTGACCTAGTGGTAAACACTTGATTCTAACTAGTATTAGAGTCAGGTTACAACAAGTTTGAGTCCTAAAAAAGCAAACACTATGTAGTTAAGACGACTCTCAGGTGTTGGAAGGGGAATTATCCTGCAGAGGCAGGTGTAGGACTAAGCCTTGGCTTGCCTGATCCTAATAGTGTTGTATCCAATAACTTTTATATTTTTGAAGTAATTTTGTTTGATTTACTTACAGCATGTTTAATTAGTAGATTCAAACATACTAACAAATCACTTTACAGATGGATGATGGTAATAATAATACTATATTTGATCTAAAATGAAGTGAGGAAAACAGTACATACCAGCAACATGGCCTTGATTGCTTGGAAATCCAATGATTTCGCAGCGTTGTCATCACGATTCTTCAGGTCTAAGAGGATCCGCATAAAATCCTTATTTTCGTCATCCTTGGTTGTGCTACAAGATTTCTAAGAAACTATTTTTTAGGAGTATAGATCATATGACACGTGGCTTAAACGTGGCACCATCCTAATCATCCTAATCTTCTGTTTAAGCTGAGCACATGTAATAGGCAGTTAGAGGTAGTTATACTGTTACTAGTCAGTCTCTCTCTCTGTACAAGAACAAAAAGGAAAGCCACTGGTTTCAATGATCAATTCAATTTAGTTTTGACAGTTTACAATTTCCTTCTTTGCTTCTTGATTCTCCTCTTCACTTCGCAACATGGTATCAGAGCAAGTAGAATAGAGGAATTTCACGTCCTATTTGTCTGAGTTCTCATGGCGTCCATGGCTGCTTGGCCTCCGCTCAACAACCTGCCACAACCGGGAAATATTCCAGCCGAAGCACCGGCAAACGGAAACACAGCGCCGACTTCTTCCACAGCGGCAACCGGAGGAAATTCCTCCGAGGTAAGATTCGATCCCCAAAACCAATCGAATCCTTATTTCCTGCATATGAACGAAAATCCAGCACTCGAGTTGGTGGCAGTCCACTTGGATGGTTCAAATTACCATCCATGGGCTCGAGCTATGACGATGGCTCTATCTTGCAAAATCAAGATCGCCTTCATCAACGGCAGTATAAAGAAGCCTTCAGCAGACAACCTGGAAAGGTTCATGGCCTGGGAAAGATGCAACAACATGGTTGTATCTTGGATTGTTAGAACCCTAACCCCTGCAATTGGTCGAAGCGTATTATGGATTGATACAGCTTATGGTATCTGGACCGATTTGAAAAGGAGGTTTAGTAAGCAAGACTTATTTAGAATTGCTGAAATCAAGTGTGAGATTTACCAGACTAAGCAAGGTGATAGTATGTTGAATGAGTATTTTACCAGACAAAAACTATTGTGGGATGAACTTGCCATTCTAAGGCCTCAGCTGTATTGTGATTGTGTTGATAAGTGTGATTGTGGGAAGAAAATTGATAGTTTGAATGAACAATCTGAGGTGGACAAACTATCTATCTTCTTGATTGGGATACATGAAAGGTATACAGGAGCTAGGAACCAAATAATGCTCATGAGGCCTTTACCTGAGGTCAATGAAGCATACTCCATGATTGCACAGCAAGAAAGGCAATGCAGGAAGAAATCACAGCTTTGGAAAGAAACAATACTTGGAAACTGGTCAGTGTGCCTCCTTCTAAGAAACCTATTGGGTGTAAATGGGTTTACAAGATCAAATATAAGGCTGGTGGAACTATAGACAGATACAAGGCAAGACTTGTAGCTAAAGGCTACAACCAAACCCTTGGGATTGACTATTTGGATACTTTCAGTCCAGTAGCCAAGATGACTACAATTAGGACTCTTCTAGCAGTTGCAGCAGCTAAAAACTGGCACATACATCAAATGGATGTCAACAATGCCTTCCTCCATGGGGAATTGGAAGAAGAAGTATATGTGCAGCCTCCACTTGGTTACCTAAATGCAGAAAGTGGGCAGGTATGCAAACTTACTAAGTCTCTGTATGGCTTGAAACAAGCTAGTAGGCAGTGGAACACTAAGTTGAGTACTGCTTTACAAAATATGGGGTTCAAACAATCATTACCTGATAATTCTTTGTTTACAAGAGGTGAAAACAGTTTCTTTGTGGCATTATTGGTGTATGTTGATGATATAATTACTGCAAGTGCTGATTTGGAAGT